GCAGGGATCCTGGCCAGTAGCTACCACTCTCTAGCCGCCCAGCTCTCAAGGCAGTACTGTCCCCAGCAGCAGCACAGAAGTAAGGGTAGCAGTATTGCAATCCCCCTGCAATAACCTTGTAATGTCTCCCCACAAATCCTTTTTGAGTCAGGCTCATAAAATTAACCAAAATGGATTGTGAATTTGGTGGGGTCCTACTCATTGTGTAGCTTTTTTGTATGTGATTTTACAGCTATCATATTCCACCCCAGAAGTGGCTGCAATATACTGGTAGATAAAAGGATTCCTCTTTATGTAGCTTTTAAGTTTCTGAAGTAGTATTGTTCCTGTTCTAACTTTCTGTATAAGTCCTATTAAGTAAAGTCTTGGGTTTGAAAGTATAAAAGAGAACATTATGAGTTATAGCTGAGTACTGCACTAACAATAGAGGTACACTACAACACAATATGAGACACAATAGTTTTAAATGTTCTTGCCAACAGTGAAAGATCCACAGATAAAACATAACAACCATCAATCTTGAGAATGCAAAGATAAAATACCTGTTATTTTTATGTTACAGGGAAGGCCAAATGGATACTTTCCTACAATTCCAACTTTACCATTCCAGTTGCATTTGCATCCCAAATCAAATTGCTGCTCTGTGAACTAAAATAATGAAAAACAGATTGGTTTTACTGACGTACACATTTGCTGTTCAGTTTTACTGCATTACTCAAATGGTTTATTTGAACCAAAAACCTTGTTTTCTAAGTATTAGTAGGTTTTTTTGGACTGACAGAATTTAAATTCACTTCCAGCTCTATAAATAATGTTTTTATTTACATCTGAGAATATTATTCCTAGATGTAGCAGTCTTTAAATACTTGTTTTGGTTAGCTGTCTCTACCGTAGTGTCTGAGTAAGATCTCTATTTATGTCAGTACCCACCGTATCTACACTTTACTATTTGAGAATAATGCTGTTAAGAGTTGTTTGGTATGGTAGTGTGCCCATTCATACCTTCAACTGTAATTTTCTTAAAGCATGGATTCTATCTTTGATTGGTGCATGTCTCCTATTATAAATTGCCATGGTCATACACAGTGCCTAAATGGGTAGGAATGGTGTCCCTAGGCTCTGTTTGTTTGGAAATGGATGACAGGAGAGGGATCAAGTGTGATTACCTGTTGTGTTCACTCCCTCTGGGGTATCTGGAATTGGTCACTGTTGGCAGACCTCATGGCTCTTACTACATTTAAAAAGCAAAGCCACAGCAGTCTGGAACTAGGCACAAGCTGACACTGGCACTCTTACTACATTTTTAAAAAGCAGAGCCACAGCATCTGGGACCCACCGCAACCTGGTGGCTTTTACTACAGTTAAAAAGCAAAGGCGCAATGTCTGGGACCCAGTGCAAGCTGGGACTCCTCAGTCTCAGCTTACGCCAGGTCCCTCGCTGCACTTCTGCCCCCCCTGCCCTCCCATGGAGATGCAGCTGGGGGAATCCTGCTTTTAAGCTTGCTCACCCCAGTACCTGCTTCTGCTCCCACTCCTGGCTGCCTGTGATCCAAAAATCACAGGAATGAAACTATCTCCAAACAGCAGCTATAGTCAAAGTTCATCAGAAACTAAAAATGTCCTAACCACAAACTGTTCTTAAATAAAGTTCAAGATCAAAAAATTTCTTTTGTGTTTAAAAGTCATGACCCAAAACTCTAATGATTCACAAGCCATGAAAAATGTATCTATTATAAGCTGCCTTTCAAAACAGGCCTATTCTCAACAGGGCCTCCAACACTAAATCATGGTTTAGGATACCAAGTCAGAGAGGAAACTGAAAAGAGATTTCCTAAACTCTCTGTCCTTTGTAGAACTTGATCCAGGGATCATTGTACGGTCTCATTTCTTGTTTTTATAATAGACATCATATATATAGTAGCCCAATGCCTGTAACGCTGAAATGCTGGCTGTTCCCTCTGGGCGGTGCATGGGAAGCGCGAGGCCCAAACGGCCACTTGCGCTGCTTGCTTCCGTGCGACAGCTCGGCTGAGCGGTGCAGAAGTCAGCCGAGCGCCATGGCGGGAGGCAACAGCGCCACCCAGAGGAAACTGCCAGGGGGTGGGGCCTGGACGAGCATGCGTCTCTGACGTGAGGCAAGGGCACTAGATTCAAAAGGAAGAAAGCTGAGCAGATACAGAGGACGTGGAGGAGACAGAGAGGAGAACGGAGGAGGCAGAGGACAGCGAGAGAGAGAGAGAGAGTGAGAGAAACACAGCAGGAGAAGGAGAAGAGAAACACAGAGTGAGAGATGGGAGGGGGAGAAGAGGAAGAGAGAGAGACAGAGAGGCAGGAGGTGGACGAGAGCTGAGAGAGAGAGAGGGTGAGGCAGTAGGAGGAGAAGAGAGAGAGAGGCCGTTTGCGCGGTGGCCTGGCTGAGCGGCGCAGAAGTCAGCTGAGCGCCATGGCGGGAGGCAAAGGGGGGCAGGGCGGTGACGTACATGCCCAGGGGGCCGGGCCTGGATGAGCATGCATCCCCGGCAGAGAGAGAGTGAGAGGCAGAAGGGGGAGAAGAGAAAGAGAGAGATGGAGAGAGAGGCAGAAGGTGGAGGAGAGCTAAGAGAGGGAGAGGCAGTAGGAGGAGGAGGAGGAGAGGGGGAGAGAGAGAGAGAGAGAGAGATGGAGCGAGAGACCGGGGGCTCAGGAGAGAAGACGGACGTGGAGGAGAGACCTGAAAATCCCGTCTTATGACGGGCTAATTGGCTAGTTATGTAATAAGGTTTTAGATTACTATCTAGTTCTACGTTGTATCTTTGTGTATTACTTGTATTAGGCTGAAGTATCTGGCTTGTTTTGTCTGCTATCAATGTGAAAATCTTTAAAAAAATTAACATTACATTATGAAATGCACTTTTCATATTGAAAATGCTTTGTTAAAATATCAACTACAAAAGGCCCAAGATTTATTTTCAAAAAGGGAGTCTAAATTTGGTATTCTACGTGCATATTTGACAGCAGTGGGAGCTGGTAACTACTTAGCACATCTGTGCCTAAATATTAATGTATTTTTTCTAGGGAAGGGGATAAAAAAAATATATTTTCTTTTTAATGAGGAAAAAAAACCCATGTGCTGAAATTGGGGAAATCCTGGGCTTGGGATCCACCTTGAAGTTCTTAAGGCCAGATTCTGAGCTGAGATGAACTGGTGCAAAGAAGCCTGTTGTATTTGAGACCTTTACATACATACAAAATAACTGTATAGAACATCCTGATTATAAACTTACAGTTCTAGGTGTAAGAGTTATTTGCTTAGTGTCTAAACAAAATAGGTCAGTTATTCGCTGAGCATTAAGCTCAATGTGACCGACAAACAGCTAGAATGGTCAAACTGCAATTTGAATAAATTACATTCTGTCCTCTTAAGTTCTCCCTGCAGTTTAGATTAGATATATTAATCTGTTTCTCACTTCCTATGGTATACCATTGGTAGGGCCCTACCAAATTCACAGTAAAGATGTTAAGATGCAGGTAATTGAGTGCTTTTGCTTATTGACTAATAGTGTAGACTATACAATTAGCCAGTCTCAGCTCATTCTGGATCCAGAGGTGACCATTGCTGCAGCTCTGCAATTTAAATGTAATAGAAGCTGGGTACACAGGCAGCCTAGCTCCTCCTACAATCAAGTTGCAGAGTCGAAGCAGGGGTAGGTCCCAGACCCAGTGCGAGCCAGGACTGAGCAAGCCTGGCTCAGTCCTGACTCGCACCAGGTCCAGAACCACTGTGGTTCTACATTTGAAACGTAGAGCTGTAGCGGGGGTAGCTTCCAGACCTGGTGTGAGCCACGACTAAGTTGGGCTTGCTCGTGCTGAGGTCCAGTAGCTCCTGTCCACGAGGGACCCAGCTTCGCAGCAGCCTCCCTGCCTCCATCCCACACTGCTGCCTCTAATAGGGGAGATGGGGCAGATGGCACTGCAGAGATGGTGCTGCAGGAAGCCGGCTTTTGAGCTGGGTCCCTCCAGCACTGGCTCCTGCTTCCCCAAATTGCTGCCTCTGATACAGAGGCAGCAAGGTGGGGATGTGGGTGTGAGAAATGCAAATAGTTGAGTAGTCAACTGCTCGTTTACATCCCTAATTCACAGATTTCACGGGGAAGACCAGCATTTCTCAAATTGGGGGTCCTGACCCAAAAGGGAGTTGCAGGGCGGGGTGGCAGGATTATGTTAAGGGGATTTTAGTATTGCCACCCCTATTTCTGTTCTTCCTTCTGAGCTGGGTGCCCAGCAACAGCTGCTGCTCTCCAGCTGCCCAATGCTGAAGGCAGCACCCTACCAGCAGCAGGGCAGAAGTACCATGCCATCCCTACTTTTGCACGGTTGCCACCTATAGCTGGCTGGTCAGACAGTGGTGGCTGCTGGCTGAAGGCTCATATCTGCAGACAGCAGTGCAGAAGTAAGGCTGGCAGTGGCTCTGCCTTCAGAGCAGGGATCCTGGCCAGTAGCTACCACTCTCTAGCCGCCCAGCTCTCAAGGCAGTACTGTCCCCAGCAGCAGCACAGAAGTAAGGGTAGCAGTATTGCAATCCCCCTGCAATAACCTTGTAATGTCTCCCCACAAATCCTTTTTGAGTCAGGCTCATAAAATTAACCAAAATGGATTGTGAATTTGGTGGGGTCCTACTCATTGTGTAGCTTTTTTGTATGTGATTTTACAGCTATCATATTCCACCCCAGAAGTGGCTGCAATATACTGGTAGATAAAAGGATTCCTCTTTATGTAGCTTTTAAGTTTCTGAAGTAGTATTGTTCCTGTTCTAACTTTCTGTATAAGTCCTATTAAGTAAAGTCTTGGGTTTGAAAGTATAAAAGAGAACATTATGAGTTATAGCTGAGTACTGCACTAACAATAGAGGTACACTACAACACAATATGAGACACAATAGTTTTAAATGTTCTTGCCAACAGTGAAAGATCCACAGATAAAACATAACAACCATCAATCTTGAGAATGCAAAGATAAAATACCTGTTATTTTTATGTTACAGGGAAGGCCAAATGGATACTTTCCTACAATTCCAACTTTACCATTCCAGTTGCATTTGCATCCCAAATCAAATTGCTGCTCTGTGAACTAAAATAATGAAAAACAGATTGGTTTTACTGACGTACACATTTGCTGTTCAGTTTTACTGCATTACTCAAATGGTTTATTTGAACCAAAAACCTTGTTTTCTAAGTATTAGTAGGTTTTTTTGGACTGACAGAATTTAAATTCACTTCCAGCTCTATAAATAATGTTTTTATTTACATCTGAGAATATTATTCCTAGATGTAGCAGTCTTTAAATACTTGTTTTGGTTAGCTGTCTCTACCGTAGTGTCTGAGTAAGATCTCTATTTATGTCAGTACCCACCGTATCTACACTTTACTATTTGAGAATAATGCTGTTAAGAGTTGTTTGGTATGGTAGTGTGCCCATTCATACCTTCAACTGTAATTTTCTTAAAGCATGGATTCTATCTTTGATTGGTGCATGTCTCCTATTATAAATTGCCATGGTCATACACAGTGCCTAATTAATAATAATAATAATAATAATAATAATAATAATAATAATAATAATCAGTTTCCTCAAAGTAGGATAGGTTATGTGTCAAATTACATGCTCTATTACCTGCTCAGAGATTGTCTGGAAGCTATAGAGTCTGATCAGACCCACACTATACATTACAATCAGCATTCCATGAGAAACTGCAACATCTGTCACATTGTTTCCAAATATCTGGCTCAAGGAAAAGAAAATATTCCATCAGGAAAGAGATCATTAGAAAGAAAATGTAAATATTAACTGACTTGCTTTGTTTTACAGTCTCATTTGCTGCTATACTGTTCTCCAGAATTGCTGACAGATGTTTTATTTTAAATGGTTTAGCAAATCAGCTGTTCTTTTACACTTCAATAATAATACTTTGCAATTCTGTAGCATCTGAAGTCAGATAATCATTACTGACATTCATTCTCAACATGCCTCTTTCATACGTAACTTGTTACCCTGTTTTTACAGATGCACACAGGGATGAAGTTGTTTAAGGGCAAATGACAAGTTAATAGCAGAGCTGTAAAGAGAATCTTTTAATCCTGATTCCTGGTTCACTGCTCTTCTATAACTGGAGGCAAATGTTCATGCTGCTCAAAAGTCCAGGACTGCATATAGCTGAAAAGTTAACTATGTTGCTAATGCATTTAAGCTCTGAACTTCAACCCAGTTTAGATAGATACATGAAGAGGTGCTTATAGCTCTTAATGATATTGCAGTATTCATTTTGTCCAGAGTGCCTCATGCATCTCCACTAAGAAAAACAATAAAAAAACAAAAGAAACATTTGTTGGATTTAAACAGATTAGCTTTTTTCTTAATATTTAACAGGCCACACTTGCACTTCCAAGCTGCATTTCTTCCTACATTTATAAAGAGTAAAGTGTTCTTTGTGCTAATCAGATATATATTATTGAAATGTGGTTAAAATGGTGATGGGCAAAAAGCCAAAAACAAGCATCAAATTCAGATGTTCCTTGGCCCACATGTAGGACAAAAAATCCAAACCACTTGGATCCACAGCACATCTCAGGAATCACATACCAAAAGCATGCTGGCAGATTCTGGCTGTCTTAGAAACACATGGCCAGAGGGGCCATGTTTCCAAGCCCTCTGCCCCAGAGGTTCCAGTTCCCCTCAACTCCAGCTAGAGGTCTGAAATGGCAAAAGGATTCTCATCTGCACCAGTGGATCAGCACTTCACCAGTTTCTGATGCTAATTTGCTAGGTTGCATTAATCTTTGATTCTACACCTAGTACAATCAAATAGCAAACTCTCCTAATGATTTCAGTAGTGTAGAATGGAGCCTGTAAGCAGAGTGTACCAGTGGTTCCTTACAAGTGTTTTTGGCACATACAATTTAATCATAAATTTAACCCTTACAGTTGAAATTTCTTAATTAAATTCCCTTCATGGGTTTATTTTAAATTATGTCAAATTCAGGCTTTGTGGTAAACTTTAAACAAAAACATAAGAGTAATTTATAGTTTTGCAATAAAATAACCCCACTTAAGTGATTTACACGTAGCAAATAGCCTTCTAATGCACATGCTATTACAAACAAGTTTCAAATGGAACATGTTTCCTCTTGACTGGAACAGAAAGGCTCACATTTTTATTAGTTTTGTAGTATCTTTCCAGCTTAATGTCAATGCAACTTAAAACCTCTCTTACTATATGCAGTATTTACCGATTACATCACTAATGGTGGATGGGGATATGCTCACAGGTAACTTCCTTAAAAACCCACAAATACCTATTAATTTCCAACTCTCTTGTTCCTATTAAGAGAAACCCATTTCAAAAAATCAGTCCCTAGCACCTACATAAAAGACCTTGTGCACTTGGTATTTTCCCAGCAGGTCACTTGTGTGAAGAATCACTCTGTAATCATTTCTGTCCAAGGAAAGTGGGATACTGCCACAGTCACGAGGAAAATAAGCCACTGCAATATTTCTAAAGGTTATAGGAATTAGTCTTGCATTATGGAGATGTGCAATGAGGCAACACAATGCTTTTTTAAATTATCACACTTTGGACCATAGTAAATATGGAAAGGAACTCACTTTTTTGTTTATCTCCAGCATTCCAATAAATTTGAGAGGTAGAACTCGGAATACAGCAAGAAAGAATAGCACAGATTGTTGGCTGCTTGCCTGGGGAAAAACGTAACAGTGAACTAAGTTGTTGTATTTCAGTCAATATTACATGCTGGGACATGCATCTAATAAAATGAAATTATGTTCTATGTTGTTCAGAGCTTCACATCTTTGAGTTAGGATTATCATCTTCTTTCATTAGGTGAGACTGAGGCTCAGAGAATCTGTAGTCATAACCAAATCCATACGGGGAGCGAAGGATCTCTTGACCCAGTTTTGTACTCTAATCATGAAATCAGTCATGCTCTCTCTTCTATTAATATAAAAAAGGAGAGTGTTCCCATACCTGCATTAAGTAATGCCGCAGGAGCAGCCCATGAAGATTTCTCTCGAAACCTCTGTACCTATCCTATAAATAATTTGGCTATGTATATCTCACCTCCCCTCTCAGAATGTTTGAGTAAAGCTACCTGAGGTGCTGTTGCTGGAAACTTATGCTGAGCTGACTTTACAACCATCATCTCTTGAGGAGTGTCCCAGCTCAGATATCTATTGGGAAATAAGAATACGTTTTTAAATGTAGTAATTTTTTTTAGACTTTCCTAAGGCAAATGCCCCATTTCATACAAAACCCTTTTTGTATTACAGGTTATAACACAAGTCAGATCATGTGGATGCTTAGAGCATGATGTAGGGTAGAATGTTTTTGGAAACCTGGAGTAGCACAGCAATAATGGAGATGGGGGCTAAGATCTGGCTCTTTTTATCAGGGACATGAGACAAGCACTGTTGTAAGCTCTTTATATATCAAGACTGGTCAATCCACTTTTCCCCTTCCCTTCATAAACACATTTTTTTATTCTGTGCACAAAAAGGTTAATTTCTTCTGGGAATTGAAAGAAAAACTTGCAGTTCTTCAGTAACAATAATTTCCCTTCTCTTAAATGGCAAAATAGATATTAATGTTCCTTTGCATAAAGTAAGTTAAAATTGCCTATTTCTGAATTGATAATATTTTCCTCATTTTATGCGATGTTTGCTTTTGCATATCTTAAAAGGTACATTCTGATATGCTGTTACTGCAATATTACAAGTTGCAAAATTGGCAGAGAAAAGCAAGTGATAGCTGGATGTTGTGGTTTTCTTGCTTTTCCAGATGAGTTAACTGGAAATGTAAGTGTAAATTCAAGTTCCTAACATTTATGTTACTTGAAGTTAAAAATGTTTCTAAAAGTAAATTCTGTGTAGGAACTGTACTTATGAAAAATATCTGCTTGAGATCCTTAAAATAACCTATAGAGCAGGCACAGAGTTCCCCAACACAGTAAGCTGCCATTCATTGTGCCAACAATGTGCCTTCATTCGGATCTGGAGGGTAGTGCAACTCAGTGCTTATTCAACCACTTGCACCTCCACAGAATCTGAAAAGAAGGGTGCTATTTGCTGATGAATTTTGGGCTTCACCCTTTTCCTGCCTAGAATTTGAGAGAAATCCCATCCATAAAAATGAATTTACATACCTCTGGCTAAATATGGATTCTGCCCTTACAAAGTGATAGATTGTTAAACTAAGTATGTAAAAGACTAGTTGACTATCTGATAAGCATTTGCTTATTGGATAGTATTCTGACTAGTCAATATCTCCCCCCTCTTTGCTGCCACAAAGGGGGTGAAGCAGTTCTTCAAAGTGGCAGTGCTGCATAGCGGCGCTGCCACTTTGAAACTCCAAGGCAGCAGCTGCACAGCTGACCCGCGGATCAGCTGCATGGCGGCTTCCCCTTTGAAACTGCTGCCTCTGCGCCTTTCAAAGGGGCAACTGTGGAGCCTGGGGTCAGCTGGGGACTCCCCAGCTGATCCTGGGCTCCCAGCAGCATGCAGTGTAGCATGGAGCCTGGGATCAGTGGGGGACTGAGAGTCCCCCAGTGACCCCGGGCTCCATGGCTTTGAAATGCACAAGAGCCCCCGCTAGGGACTCTTGTGCATTTCAAAGCAGGCATGCCGCCTGCAGCCCGGAATCAGCGGGACTTCCCACTGGCCCTGGGCTGTACACAGAGTTCTACATTCCTCCTTTGAAATGTACAAGAGCCCCAGTAGGGGCTCTTGTACATTTCAAAGGAGGAATGTGGAAGTGCCTATTGACCAGTCAACTAGCTGATGGAATTTCTAGTCAATTAACCGCATTTTAACATCCTTATGTTAAACACTGTATTTATGAATATGAAAACATTGTTAATGCAGAGGAACAAAATAGCTTTAATATATTACAAATTAAGTGATTTTCTCCCTCCAGTACTGTTAAGATAGTAAATATTTAAAACATAACTTGTATAAAGCCCAGCCACTGTTTAATACCTGAATTTGCAGTAGGGTGGGAGGTATATTTTTTCCAGTATTGCTCCAGTATTAGCAGAAAGACGAAGGAGCCAGTTATGAGCAGTCAAAACTGCAAGCGAAGATTTATAGTCTGATGGGTTGGGAAGCATTTCTCCCTATACAAAAAGAAATTATGAGTAAAAAGTTTGCACGTGTACATGAGGAAAGCCATATTGCCTACTTTCTGTAGTTTTCAAAGCAAACTACCTGTCCTAGATTGAGATTAGGAGCCAGATTTTTAACCATCATCCTCCCTTTTAACACTCAGTTTGTAGGCAGAAATAACTGTAGGCACAATTGTTTGCAGGTGCAAGTGATTCCACTTAGGCTGAATCTACATGGAGAAATTGACAGGCAAAGTTATGCAGAATAAGCTAAGAACATAAGAATGGCCGTATTGGGTCAGACCAAAGGTCCATCTAGCCCAGTAGCCTGTCTGTGGACAATGCCAAGTGCCCCACACAGGGTGGACCGAAGACAACGATCAAGTGATTTGTCTGAAGCTACAACAGAATAGTTGACAATGATCAAGCTACAACAGAATAGTTCCCTATGTGGATATACTTTGCGAGTGAAGTAATTATTCCAGAATAAATAGAGAATCCACCCAAGTAGATATTACTGAATAAATACATTATATCAGAATATCTAGTTATTCCAGAACTGCTATGCTGGTCAATTTCCCCCATGCAGACAAGGTCTTAGAGGTATAACTGCTTGATATTAAGCAGCTGGGTGTCATGCTAATTGTGCTTACAAAACTGCAGATGCAAAAAAGATGGGAGTAGATGCCAAACTCAAAATCAGTATGTTTTAGTGATGGACAGCATTTTCATACCTCACTAAAACACAGATACAATTAAAATGTCCTACAAAAAATGAAACATACAGACACAAGACTGCAACAGTTTTAAAATAGGTAATAAGACTTTTAGGACCCACTAGAGGGAAGGTGGATGCATAGTTTTATAGCTACCTTTGCCACCTCCAAAAATCTACAAACACCAGCAACTGATTCACTTTCCCACCTTCCCCATCTATAACTTTCTTTTAATTTAATACCATTATGCAAGCTGCTCCATCTCCAGACTTACTACAAAACCCTAAAAAGCAGAAGGTATCAGACAGCCCTGTTGCAGCTGGATGGTTATTAAGGAAGAGGCTGTTCCCCTGAGACTAGATGAAATTACAGAATGGCTAAAACAAACCTCAAGTGAACAATCTTGAGAAAAATATCTGAAGATGTTATTGAAATCAAAACTGTTACTAGTACACATCAAGCCAATTTGCAAGATTCAACATCAAAATTACAGAAAGCTGAAAACGAAATCTCCTCTCTAGAAGACATAATGAGTACTATGAACATAACCTCAGAGCAACAGGACCATCACATCAGCTATACCATCAAAGGCTCATTCATTTTGACAAGTCGATTTCCCCCTCCTCTATAAGATAGAGGTAGCAAAGGGGGGGGGGGAAAGGAGTACTTCAAAGTGGCAGGCTGGAGTACGGCATTTCAAAAGGGCAGTGGAGCCTGGGGTCAGCTCTGAGAGGCACTTCCCCAGAACATTGGTGGCCAGGCTGGCAGCTATCCTTTTGACAAGTCGATTTCCCCCTCCTCTATAAGATAGAGGTAGCAAAGGGGGGGGGGGAAAGGAGTACTTCAAAGTGGCAGGCTGGAGTACGGCATTTCAAAAGGGCAGTGGAGCCTGGGGTCAGCTCTGAGAGGCACTTCCCCAGAACATTGGTGGCCAGGCTGGCAGCTATCCTGCCATAGACGGCCGGGTTCCTCTGTCTAGTGTGGAGATCATGGATGTTGGGGGCATCCTCCCCCAAACTGAATAAGATTCATTA